AACTAAAGATTAAAATTAGGAAAAATTCAACATAATATTATGGGCAGTTATTTACAGTGATATTACAATATAGTGACGTCCAGGGAGGAGAGGTGGTTTTTATTAAAATACTTAATTGGTTACACATGTTTGTGATTAAATATGTTAACATTTTATATTTTATTTAGAGGAATGATTTGAGAGGTCTGAGTTGTGTGTGTGTAGGGAGGTAGGGGGGCTTTGCATCAAATAATATGCATCAATATTGAACTGCGTTCCTGCAGGTACATAATATTATGTACATAGATTTCAAGCGATGCACTCGGATGGAGTTTGACATATTATATTGTACACTACAGTACCACACGCTACATATTATACTCAAACGGTCATCTACTGGTTAATACATGAAACGTACTGCAGTTGAATTGGTGGGTGGAAGGGTGTTCCTGGGTTATAGGTTGATTATGTGCACGAATAAATATGTTTTCATACAGATGGTAGAAGTAGGTAATGTCCGAACGGACGTTTCTAAATTTTTCGGATTGGCCCAGATCGGATGAGGGACGTCGGCGGGACACAGGTAGAGGATAGGTATCTATATACTACCTACATACAATATAAGTGCGCGCATCATCGATTGCATCCGACAAGTATACAACATAAGCATAGATTATTATAGTATAATATACCTATATGAACTATGAAGTCGGGTCGAGCTGCGTGCGCCTCGTGCTCCCGATTCGCGCGACACGCGAAAGCATCTATTGGGGGGGGGGGGAAATACCTCGAGGAGGTAGATGAGGGAGGGGATGTGTGTGGGCCACGGGAGAAAAAACATGATCCTCCGGCCGTCGTGCTCCTGTGCGGACGACGATAGTAATAATAATATAACCTTGGCCCATTTCGCACGGCCAAGACCGTGTTGTCGGCCGAGGGGGAAATTCGGTCGCCGGTGAGACTGCGGGTCGTGTACCGGGCCGGGTACCCGTTTGACGGTGGCTGACCGCTACGCAGCGCTCCAGTCGTCCGTATCGATCGGGGGGCCTCTACTCCCCTCCGAGTCACCGATACAAGCGTTCCCACCAAGCGGAAAGCGAGCGCCGACAACCTGTTCCGGGCACGGCTGCGAGGCGAATGGCTCAATGGCTAGACGTGATCATTGTCGTCGGTCCGCCGCTTGACGCTTCCGTCCGTCACACAGTACGCGGTACGCACAGCAAAACCGCGATTCGCCGTCGTAGTGCACGACTGCCACTAGTGCCCAGTGCAACGTGCCTGTGTGCCAGCGTACTCCGCTCAGAACGTGATTGCGACGACGGTCACCACGCGCCATTGCAGTAGTAGTAAATAGTAATAGTGTTTGAAAACCGGCAGGACGTTATTTTTAACACGTCCATCGATTTCAGTTTACGACACAGTTTTTTCGTTACTAATATAAAGCAATTTAATATTGATACTAGGCGGTGTTGTTGTTATTGTAAAAATAAAAATATTAATCCGTCGGCCCCCGCATGGTGTCCGCTAGAGTGCGTGTAATATAATTCCTTTGTTTACCTGTTCGCTATCCTCTGCCGACCCTGCAGGCCGGAGCCCTCAACAGCTGATATCCCAGGAGTTTGTATCAATGTTTTGCCATTGTACCAAATAATAATATTCGAAAATAATAATTTAAAACAATAAAACACGCACGCACTCGCTAAACCTGCGCTCCGACATCCGTCCAACGGTCGCGGTCTCCTCCGACCCCTCTCCCGCCCCCCGGTCCGCATACTCCTCGTGAGTTGCAACTCTTAGGCAGACAACTCGAACTCGACGTGGGTCCGATATGTGTTCGCGAGTGTAACGACCGACGGGGATACCCGCGAGTATAATATCGTAGCGCGCCGCGCGCGTGTTGTGTTCGCCGGCCACGATGTCCGGTGGAGGCCGGTGGGTCGTATGCGTGGCCCTGCTGTTGCAGTTAGCCGCGCGGTCCGAGGGCAACTGGCTCAAGAACTTCGCCAAGCCAAAACCGCAGCTCAGGCTCATGGAAGGCGTCACCGAACATCTGCACAACGTCATGCCGTACGAACAGGTGCAGTTCAGCAGCCCTAACGTGTCCACGGCGTACATCAGCACCACCAAGTTCCAGGCGGCTGGCATGGGACATTTGTACTTCATCACCAACAAGTTTATCCAGTACATACTGAGCGACCAGGCTTTCCCTGAAGGTACCGTTTACTTATAGCGTAGCCGCTTTAATATTAGTAAAGCCGGGATCACACTACGGGTGTCGTGTACAGTAGTTGTGTTCAGATCTACCTTTTCAACGTGTGAGTGGGTAACTCGATATCGATATTATGTGGCCCACCTACATACCTACTTATAAAACAGCACGGCCCGACGGTTGTGTGAACCCAGCTTGACTGTTTGTCTATTCTGTTTGCTGGCACTTGAGAGAATTTGTTCAAGCACATAATATTTTAAAACATTTTTAAAAAGTTAAGCGATACTTGGTATATATTCTGGATGTACACACGGTCGATTGATCTGTGCAAACTGTAGTCGTGTACTTGTCTGTAGCGTAATGTAGTAACCTTTTTATTTTTACAAGTGGGGGGTAAGATAGATCTTCCAAAAATAACTAACCAATGGTCAATGAAAACCTACAACATTACCAACGGAATAACATTTTTACGTTTATTTATACTAATTAATATTATATTGTAGAGTAATATTAATAACGATTGTGTAGGGTAGGAACAGTATTTTATTTGTCTTGAGCCTCATTGATTACTTGTATTCTGCAAAATAACTTCAAGTATTTATTTTATTCACAGTTTCTTGGTGTATATTAGATACCTCAATAACCTAAATAGTTTATTTTGATATGTAAGTAGGTGGTTGTTAGGACGGTTTAAAGGTTACAGTTTCTTATTGTACATATTATCAAAAAATGTAAAAGTACCTATCTTATTAGATATTTATCTAACAAAGTGACAGACGACATTCTAGTATTTCATTAGATACATTAAATATGATTCATTTGATTTTAAGTGTCTAGTTATTGAATAATTAATAGTATAAAGTTATTTTTTACTTACTTTCAAGTTTCAAGCCCACGTTTTAGACCTAGGTACCTAGATGAAATATTGTATTAAAATGGTTAAAATTTACTAGAAGGTAATTTATTGATCTTATTATGTTTAAAACTGTATACTGTATAGAAATGTGATGTAATATATTATCTAAATTTGAATGATAAAAAATAATATTGAATATTTATTACTCGTTTATTATAGTATATAGGTATATTGTTAGTAAGTACCTAAGTACCTAATACTAATATTATCATTTTTTATTAACTCCCCGGAACAGAAATAATTGAAGTATGATAGTATCAGTTTACATAATATTAATTTTATGGTTGAGAAGTTACTATGGTCGTCTGAACCAGACCTTGGCATTTTTTTTTCTTTAATAACTTCTACAAATCAAAATCATTATTTTAATGATTACTTAGGTATACTTTGTATTAAAATCTATTAATTTATCTATTAAACGAGTAGGTAAATTTAATTAAAATTTAAAAAAAATTGATATGTTGGTAACGTTTTTAAACTAGGTATGTATTACTAATAATTTAGTCCAATGAAAAAAAAGTTTATTTAATTATTTTGGCACTTATTGATGAATCATAGTAAAAGTAGGTTAGGTAGGTTTAATGTTTATTTATTATATTATTTAGGTATGTAGTTGCTTTTTTTAGTAACTATGATATTTGGTACAATAGCTAAGTTTTTAAATAAAATGTATAATTAAATGTAATTAAAAATGATCATTTTGTGTACTTAAACCTACTTTTTAGACTTTCGACGTCTGATTATTAATCTATTTAATTTTATATTAACTATGAATAGGTACATATATAATTTTTACTATACACGATTTAGCAATAAGTTGCTAATTATGTATTATACTTACAAATTCTGTACACCGTAATCTATGTTTTTAAAAGCCGAATATTATGTAAATAATATTATGAATTTCCATTCAATTAAGATGACAATCCTTGACAATTAAATAAAACAATTCAAAATTATTCTAATATTGAAGTATTGATTGCTGACAAATTAATTTGTTCAACATTTTATATCAAGACACGACTGTATATACGTTTTTTTTTTCTGTTTAACCGACAGCGAGGAGGCTCTGTGTAAAAAATTCTACTCCTCTGCCATGAGTATATATATTTAGATTGATCATGTCTATACTCTCTCATCGAATACTATAAAAACCGTTCATAATAAATGGTTTTTAGATTATTATTATCTTCGTTATTATCAGTATAATGTTACAGCCAGTGCATACCTTGTAGCTACAATCTTTAGCGATAGTTGATGCACCTGTCAGTTATTTACTGGCTATAAAATCATTAAGTACTAATGCTACCAGTTTAATACTGCATATTAATAGTAGGTATACCAATATTCAATTCTTATATCAGTGTCCACTGACCAGTAATTTATTACAAACAGCAGTTATTAGTGAATTAAACTTATAACTCATGAGTTGGTATTGGAATGGAATAAAAATTATTCAAATAATTAAAAATGTGATTTTAGTATTTATATTTTATGGAAAAAAAATTTTTTTTTTTAATCTTCTAAATAAGTATAATACAATTCAAAATACAATTTTTTTTTTTATCTACATTATACAAACTGAATAGGTATTATAGTATTAATAGTATTTGTCTTATTACTAATTTTACAATATAATGTTGGCTTTTTTACTATGAGCATTTTAAATTTAAATAACAATTTAACAAATAATAATTTAAAATTTATTTCAACATATATTTGTGTAGATACTGCCCACATTAAAGAATTGTTTCCATCTATATTCTATACTATTTAATTAGCCATAATATATAAATGGTATTATTTTATACATTAAAAAACAATTGATCAACTAACATAATAACAAAAATTAACCTACCAAAAGAATTCACAAAATTATAATAATAGTTATAATACAATAGTTTTTATTTAGGTAACTTTATTTTTTTCTATAGGTATCAATAATATAATATGATAATATTTTTTTTAATGAAATTTTAATTTTTATCAGAAAAAACCATCATACCCATCATAGCCATTAAGTATGCTGTGGATAAAAAGTTTGAACTAAAATTATTATACTTATTTATTGTTTGATTTTGTTGTTGGGGTGGTTTTGATACCCCAGTACTACGCCTTATTGCTTTTAACCATTTTGAATACCGATTTTTTTGTTCTTCTTCTGTTGTCGTTGGTTTTAATATGTTAAGTGACCACTGATGACTTCCTAGTACAATATTTATTACTCTTGCAGCTGCTTTAGCTGAACCATATATAGCCATGTCGTCTGTCATTTGTGAGCTCATTACTTCTACTCCCAAAATATCAGCTTGATAACTTAATATATTATTGTAAATAGAATAAAGACCATCTACAAACAACTGAGATGGAACTATATTTGTATCTTTTTCAAATGCAACACATACATCTTTCGTATGAAAGCAAAATGCTTCTAATGCAGCTCGAATTATATGTTTTTTGTTAGTAAAATGAGTCATACCACATATAATACCTCTGGCATCTGGTTTCCAGTGTGGTGCTGCTAATCCATTAAAAGCAGGTACAAAATATACATCACTTACGTCTATGTTTAATGATTCTATTTCTGCATCATTGTCTACAATTTTCATATTATTCTTCAGCCATTCTATCGCTTTTCCACCAACTGATGTCCAACCTTCAAAAGCATAAACTGCTGGTTCTTTATCAATTTTGTAGGCTACTGTTGTAATTAATCCATTATTAGATCTTTTAAATTCGGTTCCTATTATACAAGACACTGTACAACTATCTCCATAATTACTCATTATCTGACCAGGTTTATCGAAATGTAATCCATACAAAGCAGCTTGATGATCAGCAAATATTGATCCAATTGATATACCTTTTAAAGGTGTTTCTTCTATAGTTCCATAGTGTTCAGAAGAACTTTTAATTGTTGGTAACAAAGAAATTGGAACATCAAAAACTCGACAGGCATCTGGAGACCACTCCAAAGTTTTTAAATTCATTAATAATGTCCTAGAAGCATTGGTAACGTCCGTCACATAAAGATTACCCTTAGTAAGCTTCCAAACTATCCAAGTATCTAATGTTCCAAATTTAATATTCTTCATAGTAGTAGGTTGTTTTATAATATGTGTATTATTAATTATCCATTTTAATTTAATTCCACTGAACATTGATGTTACTTTTGAACCAGTTGCGTCTTCGATATCATCAAGTTCTTTTGGACAATTTGATATACAGTCCTGAATGATTGTGTCTGTACGAGTATCAGTGTAATGAATTGCATTACAGAGCGGTTTACTTGATTCTAAATCCCATGCTAATACAGTATCTCTTTCATTTATAATCCCAATTATCTTAATGTTGTCTTTAGATAAATTTTTTAATTCTAGCTTAACTATTACCTCATTAATGGTAGTACACAATGCATTCCAAATATTTTCTGCATCTACTTCAACCCAACCAGGGTATGGTTTTATTAGTTCGATAGGCCTGTATGAATCCAACACAATATTTCCATTATGGTTGAGTATGGAGAATTTGACAATTTCGGATTCAACATCAATTACTCCAATTAATTGTTCATTCGTCATTTTGGCTGTGTGAGATGAATTAGATGATGTCTTGTTCTATGCTCAAATGTTGACTGCACTCCACAAATGTTTGTATCAATATTATATAGTTACACTTTTCAACTGATTATACGGATACAGCTGATATCTATCCACTAATGGGTTGAATAGGTCGAATTGTGCAATATTATTTATATATTTCGCTAGTTATCAATGCTATACCCTATTTGTTTGATTGCTTTATATTGAACTTTTTTAATTTATATTTATGAACTTTAGACTTTCATTAAAACAGAAAACAAGAATTAACAATTTTTTAAATAACTCTAATAAAATAAACACTATTATGAAATGATGATATACCCTGATATCGTTGTTTTAATGTTCTGTGATATTAGTAATACTAGAGAATATAAATTATATCTGAAGGCTGGACTGTCTGTGCTTCAGTGTATTGGTGATTTCCAAAATGCAATCATCTACAAGGACGGACCTATATCGAATATTTATTTAACTACGAAATATTTAACACAATATCAATTAAATTTCTCATAAAATACTAATAAATAGTAAATACATTAAATCGATAAGTAGTGGGTAGTGGGTTGAAATGTCTTGTGATAAAGTGTGTATGTTGATAAGGGCTCTGCACATAAATTGCTTAAATATAACCACAGAACATCAATACAAATAAAAAAATTACTAATCAATTTTCATAAACAAAACTTATTATCAGACTGCGGATAAATTTTATCAGTAATGATGAATGATAATGATCCACTGGAAATGTATTATATTATTTTGCCACGTCTGAATGAAATATTTTGAATGATGACGGAAGAACGTCATCAGTTTCGTACAAATCCGACTTATTGTGTCTACAGTATACGCTTGCTGGTAACACTGCAAGGAAAATAATCCACAACACCGTAGAATATAGACACACCAACCTTTGCGTTTGCTGTTTGAACTTTGATTGTGTCTTCATAGGTTGTATAAAAAAGTTATAATATGTCCATTTTGTTGTTATTTGTCCGAAAGCAATAAGGATAACCGAATTTCGATGATTTAGATGTTACGGTATTGTTTGAAATAAGATAGGTACCTAATAATAATAAACCTTTGAATTTACATCAGATGTTGCCATTATGATTAAAAAACGGCCGTCCACCAATTTTAAAATGCCCAATTAAATTGAATTTCATATGTTATGGAGTACTATTTGGAAGAATATAGTGGATTCGTTCTCTATATTCGACGTCCTGTATGGCTGTATATTATAATATACAATTTTAACGGAAAAAAGCCGGACAGGATATGGTGAACGGGTATTGGGCATTGGTCCCGCTTCGCTCACCTCGCCACAGTATCGTGCATTCATGATGTATTATTATCGACTAAAAAAATTGAAAGCAATGATGCAAATCACCGAGTTTGAGAAACAATTCGGTAAGCTCGATAAAGTTTAAATCCGTGCTTGTTCTTGACATTTGAAAGATAAAAAAATAGTAACAAATATTTAACATATCATTGTGAGTTGTCTGTACTCTAACTTACAGTTTACTCTCTGTGAAATTAAGAAAATTGAATAATTGCCTCATTCAGGTGTTCTAAATTTTTATTGATTTTTCTTCTTATACAGAAGGCTGTGTAAGACTTTTGCCACACGGAAAAAACTAAATTATAAAATCAAAACAATCATCATTTATAATAAGGTACACCAAACAATATAAATTACAATCAAATTAATTTTAAAAATAGAACATGGTATACAACAGTATGTTCAAAAAATATTTCAAACTGAAACAACTTGTGTAAAGCTAATTAAGAAGATGTCGGCTCATTTTTTTCTCTGACCCACGTCCAACATAGCAAGTTTTACGTTCTCAATAATAATTTCTAAAATTATGGTGAAATGACCTCTTATAAAATTTAAAGGTAAGATTATTATATAGGATGCCCTATTATTAAGTGTATTCTATAGGCTTTTTATTTTATATTAATTTTAAAGCGAGTTATGAGTATTTTAATATGTATGAACAATGTACAACAACGTAAATGAACATACTTGAGTTAAAGAGAGAAAAAAATGTGTTGACATCTTCTTAATGCTTTAAAAATGTAAAAGGAAAAAGGTAGTAATAATTGTAATTAGTTTTATTAAAATGCTAGTTTAGTAAAATATCAATAGATATTGTCTCAGCGTAACTAACGTAACAAATAGCAAACTTACGTTCGGAATTTACTGTGTTTTTTATATTAAGAGTGAACTGATCTTGACTATTATCAAATTATAAGATAAGATTATTATCGAGGACTCTGCTTAGGAGTTTTTTTATTTTTAATTTTAAAGCACGTTCTGACCATTTTAAAATTGTTAACTTTTTTTATAAATGTTCAATATACGCAATTCGTTATATTTTCTTCCTGAAATAACCAATAAAAACTGGATTAGCTGTTTTAAGGATATAAATAGGTACACGATCATTAGAACGGCTGTATTGTGCTTTATAATAATACAATAAAATATTGTAATATAGGTAATATTAATATTTATTACGTTTTATTATAAAATAGGTTCTATTATATAATAGTATTATATTATTTATATGAATATTATAAACTTGTAACTTATAACCCTAGATGGTAATTAATATTACACTATTACGTCTCACTATAGTCATTCATAAACAAATTGATCGTCTAAAATTTGTTTTATTTTTCGAGTTAAATATTAATATTATACAAATAACAATATGGGTTTCTAATCTACTATTTTATTAATTTATTAATTTATTGTGCGTATTTATACAAATAAATACAATTTGTTTACGTCATGCATAAGGCATAGAGGTCCCTATTTCACGTGTATATTTTAATTACATAATAAATACACGTGTTTTGAAGAAAACTATGTTTAAGTTAAAGCCCGTGTAAATAAAATACATGGGAAATTGAACATTATACTCCTTGTACCCGTTGTATTGCATCCCGTTTGCCCCCTGTGTACCGGTGTATCAAATATTAATTGCGTTCATATTTATATAGTGTATATGCATTTCCGGTTTTATTTCTTTATAATGCATTATTCTCTAAATTTTTATTTTTGTTTTCTTCTAATAAATAAAGCTGCTTAAATACGACAATGTTACAAATCAACAAAGTTGAGAAAAAATAAAAATAATCTAACAAATCACCATAATTATAAAATTACTGGACAAGCTACAGAAAAAAAACATAATAGTTATAAAAAATAAAAGTAAACTAACATCTTTAATTTACAATCTTTATATTTATAATAACTATTTTGGTATAAAAATAATATAAAAAATTGTACATTTATAGTGTCGTTTATAGTTAACATAGCTTCTCTTGGCAGTATCGACATGACGATACTCCGTCCGTGAAGAAACAATGTTCTGAGCTGACCTCACTAACAGTGCTTGGTATACATAAATATTGTTTTGCCGTTTGAATTCGAGCTACTTAATTCTTCATGTTATTTCCACCTCCAAAATTAGTAGAAATCAAATCTTTGCTGTAGCTCCACCAAATAATTTTGGTACTGCTCCGAACCATATTTTATATTAGTTATTTATGTCCATATGTATCTAAAACAATATAACATTTTTTTATAGTCCTCCCATATTGTTTTATATAACTTTTTAACGATTTTTTTTATATGACTTACTACCTCGTGTTTTAATTTTTGTATCTATAGCAACTTAACTTGCAGTAGATAACGAATACAATTTAATACATTTTTAATACATTTTTAGCTTAAGATTATAGTTAAAAGTTAATTAAAATATTTAATTGTAGTCTGTTGGACATTTTTGTGCATACCCTTGATGATATACGAGCTAAAACGGGGACTAAAACGAAATCAGACATCAGTCCCCTTCAACATAATTGTAACCAATTTAGACTGTAGTCGAATTTAATTTATTATGAGTGTAATAAATTTATATACAATTATGCTTATGAATTATGTCAATTGTGATAATTACTATACTCTTCAGTTATTTTTTGTTTATTTGGTTTTTGAAAATTACTATCAATATATAAATGTTAAATTAACACTCACAGATTATACCTAAAATTAAACTAAAAAAAAAAATGGTTAAAAATGTTAATAACAAATTATTTATAACTTTTTAATCAGAAATCAGTTCACTCTAATATGAAACTTAATTATACAAATTTGGTAAATCTGGTAATCTGAATGCAGATTTGCTATGCTGTATAGTTTTTAGACGGATGCAACACGTACGGATATGAAATCATCTTAAACGATTATTTTATATTTTATAAATTATGGTATAAACTAATATGACGTCATACGCTCAAATTCAGTTATACATCCAAATGTGTAATAAATTATTGTAAATGTAATAATTTAAACTTGAGACCTAAATAATAAAAGTAAGTGAAATTCTCATTATTGTTTCCTAAAACTCGCGTATTTTCACACGCTGAGTATATACTGACAATGCGAATGATGATGACTAATGATTATACGTTTTGTTCCAATCTGTTAATGATAAGCAACAGGCCAGTAGTAAAAATATTGCGTTGTCACAGATTTACACAAGACTCTGGTACATTTTCTATGTCAAGAATAGGGTTTGTTTATTTTTACTTTTACTAGAATTAGCACAGTGCATTTAACTGGGCATGCTAATAAATTGTCATTGTAATTTTTCGATTTTAATCGAAATATTACGTTCGTTTGCTTTCAGAATTATTGTCACACAAGTAAGTACCTAAAGAATAGAATCCAAATTATTTAATATTTTGTTTGCAAATTGTTATTCAAATCAATAATAGTTTCCTTATTTATGCATATGAATAAGATAGATTTAGATAATTCATCTATTCGAGTTATCTGTTTCCTATTATATTCTCGATGATGTTGAACAATAATTAAATAATGATACACGTTCCCGGGTTTGTTCCCTGTAATCGATTAATTTAATTATTAGTTATTACACATTAAGCCCGGGAATATGACTACTGTTTTCTGTTCTTGTACTATCATATACTATAACTTTTTAATAGCTTTTTTTTCTCTTATTTTACATTGTACCAGTAGTTAATTTGTTCAGTATCGGTAGCGCGTATATTTAGAAAACCGGATTTTGCCCGACACTACCAATTTATAACGGCAGACAACCATAATAATATTATACACTTGACATGTTATTTTTTGTCTCGTTTATCAATTGAACTCGTTTAACGAAAGAAAATCACGTACGGTACCAGCTGCAGCAGCCGTCACTGTTCGCTGTGCAAACTACATAGCAATATAATCGCCCGATTTTTTCCGCGTATATAACACCACCGAGAACAAAAACCAATATCTATGCAACATGCCATTTTCTATTTGTTTTTCATTTTGTCCCACTAAAGTCGTGTGACACCGCGAACAATTGTTTCGGTACAACATATATCATTACAAATATTACCATGTACAACCTAGTACCTACATATTGCGATACATATTCGGATATTTTTTATATTCATCCACTTTGTTCGTGTCTATTGTCATAAAAACGTATCAAAAATATCGAAAAGTCGTGTTATGTTCTCTTTGATGTTTTTCTAGTTTAATCCATTCAACCCATCCCTTTTTATATATGAAACGTTTATTAACGACATGTTATCAAATAGATCCTAGGTACTAGGTAGGTATTTTTTACTGTATTTACAGTTTATAATGGAGTATAGATGGTATCCATCATATAATTAAAAATAAAACTTATGACTTAAACGTTTATACAATAAACATAAACCTATAAACTATATAGGTTAATGTTTATGACAATTTGATTCCTACCGTCATGACCTACTTGTTGGTATAGTGTAATTATTATAAACTTAAAAGACCACAACAAAATCTCTACAAATCAATATTATGTTTTTGTATTTGTGTATAAATTACATGGTGATTGTCCTAAAAAATATTTTTAATGCTATTACTATAGAGTATAGACGGAACTACTTATATTGTTATATTTTCTGCCGTTTTACTTAACATTGTGTCATTAGTTCATTACCATACGGATGAATGTTGCTCGTTTACTTGGTTAACCTTTCAAATATGAACTCTAAAGATGAATGATAAGCCTATTTTTTTTCCTTCAACATATTTTATTTGTGCTGTATGGTGCGAGTTTGTGGATTTTGACCGTATAGTGAAATAAGCAATAGGTATGTAGCTTTTTTTTATTTGAACATATTTTACGTATGCTATGTTAAATTTGTGTATGCGTGTATGAGTTTGTGGATTTTGACCGTAGTAAAATAATCTATGTAGCTTGGCGGTGACTGTACATAATATTTTACTACATGGTATAGAATAGAAAAGACTGGCCTGTACTTGTAACGGGTCGTTGGAGTTATCAAATGACTCATCGGGTATAACGAACTCCATTTCTTTGTATCGCACTGGGACTGGGCAATCCTAATAGTAATAATAATGGTACTTACCATTATTATTACTATTGCAATCTTTATAATACATATTTACATATTGCGCCAAACCGTGTTACCTTTTTAAAATAATTACAATTGTTTCTTAAATGTTCCATTTCGATAATATACATGATAGGTATCATTTTATCATCCATCGCAATCATAATTATTCATAATGGTCATAATAATATTATCGTTGTTTATTTAAGTCAACAAATTTAAAACTAACA